TATATATATATATATCGATTGAGCGTATGCTATAGGCAGAGCTCAATGCAAAGCCAATATCCGCATATGATCATGTGCAAACAACAAATAGAGCCAAATCTTAGTGGCTTACAGACCTTTAGGGCTGCATAATAAACAACAGAGGCAGATTACACGACCCAAATCTTAGTGGCTTACAGACCTTTTAGGCAGGATGATAAACAACAGAGGCAGATTACACGACCACCAATCAGGTACCCATAACTACGCTCTCCCTCCACCCCAGCTAAGATGGATTTTTTGGAGCAAAGTCCCTGTTGAGAAGTTTGATCATTTCATGTTACCTTTAGCTGGACAACAATAACTTAAAATATAATTAAAGCAAATATGTGACAACAACTAACAAGATCTATTCTAGAAATTAAGTTTTCAGTGTCCAAGCATCCAATCAATCCTTCTAATTGTACAAATACAGGCCTAATGGTCAATTAGGAAACTAGAACTGACACCTACCATTCTCCATAACATCTAAAACTCCATCTTGACAAGTGCATTTTAGACATCTGCTGATCCACATTGAAGCCAATCCTTGGCACAGACAAGGGCTTCAACTGTTTCAGGTCGCAGTGAACTACGGTACTGATCCAGCTGTTCGTTCACTATATCAAAGACCGAATCTGGAGCAGCTGCAGATACTGGAATTGACAAAATATCACGGGCCATCTTCGAAAGAGTTGGGTACTTGAGCTTGTTCTGCTTCCACCAACCTAATACATCAAACTCTGGTACACGAGGCAACAGAGATTCTTCCAAATACTGATCCAACTCTGACTTCATATGTTGGTTGGTAGTCTCCATGATGTACGCATCAAAATCAGTCAGTCCATTGTCTGAGGGAAGATTTCCTCCTTGAGATTCGTCCATTTTCACATTGTTTCCAGCATTCCCTTCCTCTGCATAAGTTGGCGTTAGAGGAAGAGGAAGTGCTATGTATTCAAGAAAGAGCTCATGAATGTCATCATCAACAATTTTAATATATCTGGGAGCATCTTCTCCGTAAATCTTTGTGAAACTGAACTCAACAAGCTTCATCTTGAACCGAGGATCCATGACCACTGCAATTGCCAAAACAAGGCTACAGTCCTTCCAATATTTATCAATCTTCTCTTGCAAGGCTTTAGAAAGGTTGCTGATGAAAGGATCCTCACAGTTCACTGCACGAGATAGGTCAGAGTGTATCTTCCACACTTCGTGAAAGAATGTAATAATAGTTGGGTTAGTTGTAGTTGTAAGGATGTTAGCCGCATCAAAGAGAGGTTTCAAGATACTGCATAAAGTTTCAACCTGCCTCCAGTCTTCCATTGATGGGGTCTGCTTGTAATCCGGATCTGAAGTATCCAAACAAGAAAAAACTTCCTTCAACTCAGAAGCAGCCACAAGCATTTGGTATGTTGTGTTCCATTGAGTTTGATTGTCAAGGGATGGGCTCTTCTCACTAGGTACCTGAAGCTGCTGCTTAATCTCAAGAAATTTTTCCTCATAAGATTCTGATGTCTTGACATACTTCACACTATCCCGGATTTTCTTGATGATTTCTTGCCCAGCTGCAAGCACATCTTTTGCCATGCTGCTCAATGTCCGAGCTACACAATTCCCAATCAACAGCTGACCATTAAGAATATGAGGATTCTTAGTGCAGAGTAGAGGCCTAAGATTTTCTAGCCCAGCTTCAGTCAGTGGATGATTGATGGTGACAGAAAATAATCTGCTCTCTAGACTCCAATCAGACAGGCAAGCAGCAACGGCATGACTTAGAGCATTGGCTGAATCAGAATAAGGCTCCATAATGACATTGAGAATTCGCCTGTGCAACTTCCAGTCACTATCAATGAAGTGTCCAGTTATAAACACATAACCCAAAGTTTGATTTGATGTCCAAATGTCCAGAGTGAGACAAAAACGTCCTGGTATGCCCTCAATAAGCTTCATTACAGTTTGCTTTTCCCTTAGGTAGGTTGCAACACAATCCCCTTGGACGGTGTTGAAGCTCACCTTGTCAAAGCGGGGGTGAAGATTCTGAACAAAAGCTATGAAGCCAGGATGCTCAACCATGTGAAGAGGGTAATCATGCATGATAATCATCTTTGCAATTTCTTGGCGGCAACGATCCTGATCAAATGGAATGTAGGGTGAGGCAGGAGATCTGTACCGTCGTTTTGGCAGCTCACTTCCACCATTCCTCGGTGTAAATTGGGATGGGGTCAACTGATCATTATCCTGATCACGTATGAGTGCTGGACAAGTTCCCTTAGCAATATGGCGTTTGAGGTGGCTGGTACCTGCTACCTTTGAACCAGTGCTATATGCAAAACTTTGTTTGCATCTCTTACAACATGCCCTTCTACAATCAGGACTTACAGTTTCTATGGTGAAGTATTCCCAAACTATGGACTTCTTTTTCCTTCTCTTGCTGGGCTGTGTTTCAGGAGTAGTCAACACATCCATGGTGACCAGAGCATTGTTCTCTTCTGGGGTTTCCATCTTGTCTCAAGAGGCGAAGTCCTGATTAATACAAGAAATAAAGAAGATTTAAAATATATCCATGACAGCCTAAAATAAGAGTTTGAAGTTTATAACCAACAAAATAATTTGGATGCTACACAACATAGGGTGTTAAGGTTGCATGCTTCATTAAAGCAATTACAAAATAGAATTCACCAGCCACAATGCAAATTCTAAACACAAGTAGAACATGAAAAATAATATAAGAACAGTGAAGAAAGACCATGCCCCTGCAATCATGTCAACTGTAAACTGAAAATCAAAGAAGATCAATAAAAATCCAAAAATAACTTTTATCATTGCTAAAACCTTACTCTAAGATACAACATAAGTTACACTTCTTTTTTTTTTGGTGTGTGTGGTGGGAGGGCTGAGATCAAGTTGGGGATGGATAAGTTCACTACAATATATAAGATGCAGGCACTAAGCAGGTTGTTCAGGTTTCTGTTACTTACATGCCAAGACTTAATGCCACTTCCCTAGTGCATTATTCTTAAAAATTGTTCACAATTTAATACTGAAAAAAAAAAAAGGAAAATAATCTTATAAGCAATTGGGTTTCATATATATGTATGTGTGTGTGTGTGTGTGTGTGTGTGTGTGTTTGTGTGTGTGTGGACTAGGGATTGAACCCTAGACCTATGGCTAGAAACATGCTAGTAATTGGGTTTCATTATAATCATTAGACTACAACTCATCAGATCAGTAAACCAAATTTGTTCATAATCTGTCTCGTGAATCTCTATGGATAGCATGTATGAGTATGAGATCCAGCATTCCACAATGGGCAATAGTCAACTATTGCAATATTTCTACCATGTTTGGGTAGAAGAGCACACAGCCATTACACTAATGGTAAAATCATTGCCTTTTTTTTAATGGCATAACAAGATGTCCTGCCGCTAGCTAATAATCTTAATTAATATGCAATTGTTTCTTTTGTATATAAGGTGTAAAAGGTTACAATTGTTAATTAAAATTTGTTATGCATATGTCTTGTGCATATTTTGCTTGGCCCGCAAAAATAAGGTTTGATTTTTTTGGGAGAAAAGGTGCAGATAACAATGTCAGCTTTATAATTTTTTCTATTTAAAGATGCAAACTTTGCTAATTTCTAATTAAGGTAGTAAACTTTTAACTTTTTCTATTTAAAGATACTAACTTTACATTTTTTCTTATTTAAGAATGTCAATTTTGCATTTATCATATCAGCATTACTATCCAATTAATTTTTTTTAAAAAAAAAAAAAAGAGCAAAGCTGGTATCCTTAAATAAAAAATTTTTAAAGTTTACATTCTTAGTTAGAAATCAGCAAAATTTACATCCTTAAACAAAAAAATTGCAAAGTTAGCACTGCACCTTTTCTCTTTTTTTGGTTATTTTTTAAGATTTGGTCTTGATTTTTAGATTGTTTATATATATATATATATATATGAAAAGTAGATATCACATATCAGCCTATTTTACAAAAAATTAAGTAGAAAATTATCTCAAAACCTTTTATAAAATCCTATTGAAAAGGACAAATATTCTAATAATTTTTAAAGTAAGAATGAGGATGTTTTAGTTTTTTCTTGTAGTGTTTTATTAAAACAACATAGTTTTAAAATATTTTTTCAATTAAGTTTTTGCAAATCCTACTAATAAACATATATATGTAGGGATTAATGTTTATCCATATGACCTCCTAAAGATTAGGAGAAAATTATTTCAAAACTAAGTAGTTTCAATAAAATACTACAAAAAATGACAAAAAATAATTTAATTTATACTTTAAAAATAAAATATTTTAATTTTTTTAATAAAAATTTATTAAAATAATGTAATTGTTATCCATATGACCTCCTAAAGATTAGGAGAAAATTATTTCAAAACTAAGTAGTTTCAATAACATACTACAAAAAATGACAAAAAATAATTTAAT